CCCGCGCTGCTCCCCCCGCGCCGGGCGGGCCGAGCTCCCGCCGTGCCCCGTGCCGCGGGCCCAGGTGTGCGGAGCGCCGGGCGCGGAGCCGCGCGGCCCTGCGTGCGGCTCGGGGCGCCTGCGCTCATAATACCAAGGTGTCCTGCCAAGTTCCTTCCAGCATCCACGGCTTCATTCAAAGTGACAGGGGGCCTGATTTATTATACTAACGAGCCGGCGATAAATAAACATGACCTGAGAGAATCCCGGGCCCACAATTCCTTTCTTGTTTGTCTCCTTGGGGGACATGAAAGGTTTCCTGCCATTTCCCAGTGCTGCCCGCTCGGCCCTGCTCCGGCTGCCAAGCTTTGTGCCGCTCTTGCGCCCAGCATTTCATCGAACTGACAGCAGCGCCTTCTTAATTGCACTAATGAGGCTCTCAGCAGTGTGGAGTGGTGGGGTCGGCCCGTGCAATGCAGAGCGGCGCCGAGCAGCAGGTCAGCAGGAAGAGAAGCGCCGGGAACAGTGCCGCTCCAGTAAAGCACAGCGGGCTGGAGCAGGAGCCAGAGCCCATGCGCCGGTGCCGGTGCCGGAGCTGCCCCGGCCAGCGCTGGATGGGGCCGACCAGAGCCAACAGCACCGGGATTTAGCACGGGATGCTTGTGGGAGCTCTGATCTCCTGAGACAGTGGCTCCCGCTGGGCTCTTACCATCGAGCCCCAAGGGCTTACGGTAACAAACAGGAATGTTTGTGCTCTGGTAGGAAGGAAAATGGAAAACAGGACAGATCCTGATCCTTATCTTTGCAGCCACCATGAGCCCCCCTGGGGCCAGCAGAGCTGCCCCGCTCCGGGATCTCCTTCCCGGATGCCGCTGGGACGGCCCCGCTCCATGGCCCTGCTCTGCCCCAGGCCAACACGGCGGGAAGCTCTGGGCTGCCGGACCGCGCAGCCCCGCTCCAGGCCGCGCTGCACCGCAGGTCCGGCTGGGCCGCTCTGGTGCCTTGGGAAGCACCAGCGGGAGCCGCAGGCACCTCTGCAGATGTGGGCAACAGCTCCGGGCTCCAGGCAACCTGGCTCTGCCTGACCTGACCCAGCCTGCCACCAGCCGGCTGCATCCCAGGATCCCCAGTGCATCCCAGGCCAACGACTCATGCCCTCTCCCCTTGCTGACTTCACTTCTGTTTCCATCTCCACAGGCAGGTGGGAGCCCGGCTCAGATTTCCAAGGCAGAAAAGCAACTTCCCTTGCAGGGTGTCCTGGTCGCACCGGCCCTGCCCGCCCCCAGCCCAGCTCCCTGTGCCAGCTGGAAATTCACTTGGGAAAAACATCTTGAGCCTCAAAACCAGTGAGCCTGGCGGACGGCCAGCGATCCAGAGGCTCCAGAAACGCAGCCCCAACGTGCAGCTGGCTGCGCTCCCTGCCCTCTGTGGCCCGGCACCCGTGTGGAGCAGGCACCGGGGCCGGGAGCAGCCACGCGGCGCGGAGCGAGTCCCTGCGCCAGGGAGAGCCCGGCCGCCGGCGCCGCCCCTGGTCGGCAGAGCCGCCAGAGCCGCTCGCAGGGACCGAAGCCGGGGCCGGGGGCAGCCCTGCCGCGCACGACGCTAAGCCTGCCCGGCCGGGGTTCTGGCGGGCCCTGCATTCCCTTCCCAGGAGGGGCGGCACTGCATCCGTAATTGGATCCCGGGATTTGCCCAGTGATACTGGGTATAATCGCGCAGCCGTGGTGCCGCCGTTAATCTTGTTAACGCCGTTACATGGCCACGCGCGGGGGCTCCTTGCTGTGCGGCTGCTGCACGTGGGTGCTGCCAGGCCCGGCTCGCCAAGGCTATGTCCCAGAGGTGCGAGGTGGGATCTATCCCGCCGGATGCCTGTGCAGAGGGATACAGCAGGATGCAGATTCCAGCGGCTCCCCTCACTCCCTGCAATGCTCTGGGATGCAACCCTGGCCAACCCGTCCCCACCCCATCCCCATCCCCATCTCCCAGGGTGCCCCTGAGCTCCCAGCCCGGGCCTGGCTTCCCCCTCGCTCCGGGCACAAAGTCCCTCCATTTCCAAGGGATTCATCACTGCTGCTCGTGCCCCAGTGAACTTCCACCCATTAAATAACTGTTTGCGCGCGGCAGCAGCGCGCTGAATCCCAAACAAGCCTCTGCAGCACTTTGGGTTTGTTTATGCCCAGCTAAAACACCGTGCGGCAGCCAAGCCTCCCGCAGCCACGTCCCCGCGGGTCAACTTTGGACCGGGGCGATAGCGCGTTATCTGCTGAGCACACATGGGGCGGCAGGTTAATGCCAGCAGCTTTGACTCGGCTTTAACTTCAGCTACTCCAATTTTCTCTGGGTTTTCCCAGCGCTGGGGAATCGCAGCATGTTTTGCTCTGCCAACCCGCAAGCTGGGGCAGGGCCCTTGCCCAAGGTGGAGTGGGAGACCCTGAAATCCCCCTTAAACCCAGGGCTGCCCTCACTCCTTCCGGGGGGCGGCAGTGGCAGCAGCTGGTCCCACCGGGAGCATTTTGTCCCTGTCGTGCAGGGCAGAGTGACGAGCAGCTCCCCTTCCCGCGGGTCTGCGGCTGCCCTGCTGAGGACGGGGCTCCTCTCCTGCCTCGGCACAAGGACGTGACTCCGCGTGGCCTCTCCTGCCTCAGTGCGAGCTGTGCAAACACGACACAAGCGCGTGCAGGACCCACGCCGAGCTTGCGGGCGGCCGCTTTCCCCGCACGTTGCAGCAGAGCCCGGCCTTGCCTGGGCAGCGCGGGGTGGCCCTAGCGCAGCGGCCGCGCCGCGAGCTCCTCCGCAGGCACCTTTCCTGCGGACGGGCGGCAGAACAAAGCCGCACGCCGGGGCCTTCCTGGCATTGTCCGCGGCGCGGTGGGGCCACAGGAGCAGGGTGAGCGGCGCGGCGGCCGCCCCACACGTGCGCTCGGCGAGGGCAGCACGGAGCACGGCCGTGCGCTCCCCGCGCCGCGCTCCATGTCCATGTGTCCCTGCGGGACGAAGGCTGCCGCCAGTTCCCCGGTGACACCGTCCCCTGAGCCAGGTTCTCGCAGCGCGTGGCCGCCGCCGGGCCTGCAGGCCAGGGCTGCGATGCGGAGCCGAGGTCTCCGGGGCCGGTGGAGCAGCAGCACGGGGGAGCGCCCTCGAAGCAGGGGATGATTCGGTGCCGGATGCAGCTGAATTCGCTGCAGAGCCCCCACCTTTTCCTCTCGCCCTAGGACAGGAACGCACTCATTAACGAGCGTGTTCGGGGTCAGCAGCATCCCACGGGATGGCGCGTGGGAAGCGCCACCACCCAGCGCCGGAGGGTCCCACTCCGAGGGGATGAGACAGCTCCACCTCCCGCTCTCAGGTCCTCCACTCCGGCCACCCCCGCTCGTGGGATGATCCAGACCCCGATCCCTGCGTGTCCCTGTCATCGCCATTTGCCAAGGCCCTAGAGTGACTCCAAGAAGGAATCAGCTCTGCTGCCGGTCCCGCTGACGGCTGCAGGGAGCATCGCCGGGGCAGGAGCAGAGGAGCGGGCAGGTTTCTG